AAGTTTAGTTTGTATATATGTATATATGTGTATATATGTATTTCTATATGTGTATATATGTATGTATATACGTGTATATGTATGTATTTATGTATATATGTGTGTATATATGTATGTATATATGTATATATGTCTATATATGTATGTATATATGTATATATGTATATGTATGTATGTATATATATGTGTGTATATATATACATATATGTGTGTATATATGTGTATATATATTTATATGTGTATATATGGACGTATATATTTATATATGTATGTATATATTTATATATTTATATATTGTATATGCAAAAGTATTGAACAAAGTAAAGTTCACCATGTCCACATAAACCAGAAGGATTGCGTATGTTGTCAATACACACTTGCTTGTTTTTTTTTTGTTTGTTTTTTTTTTTTTTTGCATACAGAAGGTCAGCTAGCCAAAGCAGCAAGGGCTTCTGGGTAAGATACAGCGAACAGGATTTGTGAGAACAAAAAAAAAAAAAAAAAAAAAAATTTGGCAAGAGATGTTGAAGCTAATGAAGTTTCTAAAGTCGATCCTCGTGATCTCAGTAGTGTGGTTAGCAGGAGCTAACACCAGTGTTACAGGTTGTTTTTTTTTTTGTTTTGTTTTTTTTTTTTTTTGGTAACTTCTAGTTCTACGTATCATACATTCCATCTCTGAAAACCCATAACTTTTCCTGTAAAGATGCAGTGAATAGACATTAATCCGATGCTATGCTAACTCCAGTCAAACGTCCAGTTAAAGGTCTTTTAATTCTGTTGAACCCGTTGGTAGAGAACTACTCTGCACCTTCCACTTCCTGTAAAATGTGTGTTACTTCACTGCACACACACATACGAGCGCACGCAGCCAAGATCAAACAGTTTAGCAGTGCGTTCACGGCACACGCTCAGAGCTGTCGGTGACACACATCGACACAAACAGGGGAAGGTGTTGTTTGGTCCAGATATTTCCTTCTGCAAAACAGGCAGAGCCAGAGCTGGTGGGTGTGGTTTCACACAGAACCACACCCCCGTGTTACCGCTACCATTCCAATCACAAAGTCGCCCACTATGGCTGACCACTCCCCTTTTTTTTTTACAACCAATAGGCTTGAAACACCCCCTCTGCCCCCCCACCCCCTCTCATATCTCCCCAACAATTTCTTTACCCTGAATGCCTTCACTGCTGAGCAAGGCAAAGGCAAAACACACCTTTCTCTATCAGCTGTGAGGAACGGAGAGAAGGCAGAGGGAGGGGGAGAGAGAGAGAGAGAGAGAGAGAGAGAGGGACAGTGGGGACGCATTCAAGGAAGGGTCCTGGAGTGTAGAGAGAATGGGGGAGACGGGGGAACGCAAGCATGTGGAGTGGCTTTTGTAGTCAACACATTATGGGGGGCTACATTTGAGAGAGGAAGGCAGGGAGAGGGGGTTGCCTAAAGAAAAAGGGGGTGTCTGTGGGGGGGGGCAAGGGGGAAGACCAAGACTGGCTGAGGGTGAGAGTTGATTTGAGGAAGGGGGATTCGATGTGTGTAGGTATGTATGTATGAGGGTGGAGAGAGGTAGGCAGGAAGAAAACAAGACTCGGAGAAGGACCGAAATACAGAGAGGGAGACGTAGAAGGGGGGGAGACCTAGTTCAGTTCTGTGGTGTCCTGAGCAAAACCTGTGGAGGACGACGGGACACTTTGACATCTCTCCGTCCTTCTCGGCAACACTCATTCAGAAGGAAGGAAGCGCTGAGAGGCAGCAGCACGTCAGAGAGTTCGAGGGAGAAAAAAGAGGGGAGGCAGTCTCTGACCCTGCTGGAAAGAGAAACAACCACGGAAGAAAAAGTGAGAAAGAGGAGGCAGTGGAGTCACCCACTAGAGCAAAAGACAAGGGAGGGATGAGGGGGGGAACAGTGAGTTAGGACTCCGTCTCTCCAACTGGGTGAGTGTCACAAGTTGCTCTTGCTGTCAAAGTGTGCTAATCTGTCTGTCATAGAGTCAGCTGGGCTCGGGGTGAGTCAACGTCTCCAAAAATGGCTTCATGAACAGAGAGGCAGGCAGTCTGTGTACAGAGGGAGGGGAGGGGAGGGTAGTAAGAGGAAGGGGGGGGAGACAAAAAGGGAGCCCGTGTCAAACAGCATTCTCAGCAAAACTATGTCAGTGAGACCGCTCACTACTGTGGGAGTGTGTGTTTGGTGACACCCTGATCTGCACCACGACCCTGTCAGTTTCATTCGACTT